TGGTTTCCTTTTCTATAAAGTCCAAATAGTAACTTCACCAAACCCTGATGCGCAGTGACATGAGTCAAATGAATGAGTTTAGCCACACTGGGCTAAGCACTGACTCGTCCCCTTGAAGATTCTGGGCAGCGGCAGTTCTGCTGTCAGAGCTTGCTGGAGGCTTGGAGCCCCCAGAGTCACAGAGAACAGGCCCTGAGTTTGGGAACTTTGTGCGGCTCATGCATCTGACCTCTGGGAGCTGCTCATCCTTCCAGTGGCATCCACTGGCGCACCTACTGTGTGCAGGGGGCTACGCTGGCGCACCTACTGTGTGCAAGGTGCTACGCTCGGCCCTACCCCATCCACCACTCACCAGCCAGGAGTCACCTCACCTGGCCGTGCCGGCTCTGGTTTGTATCGGGGAACTTACATGACAGCTGTGCATGTCCCCAGCAGCACAGTGGCCCTGGTCTCGGGCCGGTCACCTGGAGTTGGCTCTCGGGGAAGCACACACAGTACGCGAACACAAATGTGGGTCGGGGCTTCTCACTTGCTAACCAGCAGCACAGGTCGGTGCTGGCCGGCAGAAATGGGGAAAGCAGTCCAGAAGTGCTCTGAGGAGAAAGGAGCAGGCTCTGCAGCCGGGCTGCCAAAGTACCTGTGAGTGGCTGAGAAGTGGCCCCTCGAGCTAAAGTGTCTGATGGGGTCAGGGGTGGAGATGTGGATCGGTTGGTAGAGTGTTGGTCTAGCAGACACGAAGACCCAGGTTTGATCCCTAGCACCGAATAAATCAGGTGTGGCGGCACAGGCCTATAATCCTGTCACTCAGGAGGTGGGTGTGGATTTAGAAGTTCAAGGTCATCTCAGTCTCCCGACAGTGATTTCAAAGTCTGGGCTACAGGAAAAACTGAAAACAAGTGGCCAGTGGGACTACAAGCCTTCCTGGCTGGCCTCAGACTTGGGAATTTGGGGACTCGGGACTTAGAATTTAAGAACTGGTCACCCTAGCAGACAGGCCCGGAAGACAGAAAGAGTGAGAATGTGTCCGTCTGCACACTGAAGTGGTCTGATGGGTCACGAAGATGCGGGTGGCCCACATCCCTCCCTGTTTCTCTGTACAGTGAGGATGTATTTCTCCATTGAACCAATACCTCCTGGGGTCCCACTGAGGCTGGGAGCTTCTTTAACATCTCCAGCATGGGACCTGCAAGCCCCTGGCCGCCGCTGTCTAATGCTGGTCCAAGCTGAGGGTCACTGAAGGGAAAGAGTCTGAGGCAGAGGCCAGCATAGCTTTGGCGCTTTAACAATGTCGAAGTTTCACAATAGTCTAGTTCTTCCCATTGCTCTGTTCATTCATCTGGGCGACTGGCAAGGCCTCTCGGGTAAACAACCCACCGGGCACATGGATTCATAAGAAAGCCATGAAGGCAGGCACTCAGGGAGACTTCTTGGAGTAGGTACCCAAGTGACCAAGTGCCCAGTGACCAAGGGAGGGCAGTCTGGGTGGCAAGGACACCACATGTGAGTGAGTGAGTGTGGAGGGACACGGAGTGGATGTCAAGGCAGGAGAGATGGGCGGTGCCCCAGCTTGAAGTCTATGGGACCCTGAAGATCTTGGACTCCTTGAGGTGGCTCTTGGGACAGCAGCTGCCCAGTGAAGCGTTCTGCACACACCTCTGAATTCACCTGCTCAGAGGAGCTCATCCAGGGGTTTTAGTGCGTTCACGGAGCAGTGCAAACACCACCACAATCGATTTCAGGATGTGTTCATCGTCCCCAAAGTAAGCCTGTTACCCATTAGGAGCCATTTCCCCTTCTCCCCTGTCCCCTGCCCTTGGCTGCCACACATCGACTTCCTGTCTCTTCAGATGGGCTCTTCTGCCTGCGCCTCTTTCCTATAAATGGAACCGTACTTTTGTGAAGGGCTTCTTTGAGAGAGAACAATGTTTTCAAGGTTCCCCAGTGGGAGCACGAACCCGGGCTTCATTCCTTTTTGCAGCCAAATAATATTCCGTTGTCTGCTGCTGCTTCTCTTTCTGTGACATGGAACAACTTGTGTGTTAGAAAGCTGGCTGGGGAGGTTGGGCAGGAGGAGGCCAGATGGTCCTGCCAGGCCAAGGAGTGGGTGGGAAAGAGCTTTCTAGATGCCTGCAGGGGTGGGAGCTGGCCAAGAAGAGGCAGGCATGGGACCCTGCTGTGGAGGGAAGACCTGGTAATTGAGTGACTGCAGGGGGTGGGAGGAGAGGAGGTGCAGGCAGGGAAAGGGGTACTCCTGGTGACCGTGACCGGGTGGAGAATGAGGCGACCTCACAGGTTGAAGAGGAGAAAGTTTGAGGACGTTCAGAGACTGAAGGTGGTTGTGTGTGTGTGGGGGGGGGGGTGGCTGAGGACCAGGCTAGGATCAGGCTGGCCTGGGACACAGTAGCCCAGCACAGCAGCTGGGAAGGTGGTCCAGATGGCTGGCATGGCACAGAGGGGAGAGAGCAGCCACCTGCCAGGCAGACGGGAACTGGCCAGCAGATGGAACAGGCACTGAGCACTGTACACGCTCCGATGAGAGAGCCAGGAGGAGCTCAAGCTAGGGGCCAAATCCTTGGGTTTCCTTAGGGTAGTTCTAGACCCTCCCACAAGCCCCCACGTTCCCACGTACAGAGAAGGACACAAACTCTGAGGGGCTAGCCCTGAGAGGTGTCAGTTTGCAGCCGCTATGGCTGCGACACCCCAGGATCCCTGGACCATATCGAGATGGTAGCCCTGTTATACTCCACCACACCAAGAACTCGTGAGTGAGGAGTCGGGGTCACAAAGCCAGAGCTGCAGGGGTGCCCAGAGAGTGTCCAGAGTAGCAATTGTCGATCCGCCTCCTCCCCGCCAACACTTGGGGGCGGTGGATGGAAAAGGAAGTCAGTCTGGACTCTAAGATGCAGAAGGAACAGAGGAGCCAGACGGCCAGGGGCTGACCCCAGCTCTGCTGCCAAAGCCCCATCCTGAGACGGTGCCTCTCCCTCTTTGTGCTTTCATTCCGGTGCCTGGATGCGAGAGAGGCAGGGTGGCTGTTAGCCTCAGTCAGCTTCCAGAGAGGGGAATGGCCAAATCCTCAGGACAGAGCTACCTCTCCAGGGGACTTGGAACTGTTGCTGTGTGCATGTTGGTACCATGGGAACCTCCTTGGTGCTGTCATTGGAGCCTGGCGGTTTGTGATGAAGAACCCCTTGTGTTCCCCTTAGAGCCAGGGTGGCCTTCGATTAGCTCGGTGACCATCTTTACTGACCTGTGTCCTGGAAGCCAGCATGAGAGGCAGGCCTGAAAGGGGCTGTTTCCCCATGTCTATACGGAGTTGTGGTTGGCTTGGTACAGAGCAGAGCCCCTTCTGTGCCGTGTCTGGTGCTGTGTTCCCTGTAAAGGCAGGAAATTTTTCTCACCAGTCAGGAAGCTGCAGTCCAGAGAGGTCAATTAACTCATCCAAGGTCACTCAGCAGCTTGGTTTTGATCTAGGTACATGTATGTCTAATGCCAAGATTGCTCTAACCCCCTTGTACAGACCTGAACCAGCAGGATGGTCTCAGGAGCGCTAAGTGCTATTGCCTTGTTTCATGGACACGGAAGTGGGTTAGGTCACTGGTCACACTACACACCCAGATGGATAGGGGATTCTCCAGGCGGCCTGCTTCTTAAACCATGTTCACTGCTATCCTAACTTCGTAATTCTCTAAGCAGCTTCAGGAAGCATTTATAGAGCACTTGCTGAATACCAACTTGTTAGTTAGGCGGAATCCAAGCGGTGGTCACTCAGGTGTGGCTTCGGTTCTTGGGCAGCTGAGAAAATGGCCAGGAAACCCTGTCCGTAGCTCATTGTGGCAGGAGGGTAAAGCCTTTGGAATTCAGGTTTTGTTTCAAGCCCCAGAAAAGGCAGGGTCTCTGACCTGGAGGCTCGGCTGGCAGAAGATGAATTGCTACTAAGACTAGGACTTGAAAAGTAAACCCCAAACACCCAAGGCTGGAAAGACGAATTAGGGACCATGTATGTTAGCCGCTGTATACACGGAAATGGATGTTCAGAGAGATGCAGTCGCTTGCTGAAAGTTGCACAGAACCCAGACATGGAATCGATGTCTTCCAGATGAGGACCCCTGCCTGTAGGTGAACTAGCAGCTTCTCATCCCAGGGAGTTTTTCCTCTGGAGTTCTTTCCCATCCACCTCCTCCCTTAGAGACTGAGAGAGACAAGGCCCTGCCAGCAACCTCTGGGTTCACCTCCCGGGCCAGCAGAAATGGGCGGGTGGATTTGAAACCACCCACACTCCCATGGCTGCCTGCAGTAGAACCTAACCCATGCATGTCCTGGCTGCAAGGCTGCTGCTCATCAAGAGCCTGTGACCATGCCGCTCTGGAGTGACAGGTGCTGACTGAGTGTGGGCACTGCCCCCTCAGGCTGAACCTGGTACTGCAAACCCCTTTATTTTAACCCATTGGCCAAGCTACCTAACTTGGGTTATATCACGTATCATACATATGTGTGCAGAATGCTCACCTTAGGATAGCACTTTTACAGATAAGAAACCTGCATCACAGAATGGTTAAACCACTTGCCCAGAGCAACACAGCCAGGGACTCAGACTCAGGTCTGTGTGACTCCAACCGTGTACCAAGTCATTCATAATGCTGTCTAACTGCCCAGGATTCTGTAACAAAATCGTTGTCTGTGATCTAGAGCCCTATTACCTAGTTCCAGGCTAGTTAGCAGCTAACCAGGTTAGGAATTCAGATTGCTGAGCTCCTCCAGGCTGAGGTACAGGACAGTAAGGGGAGGTGGTTGAGGATGCTGAATCCACAGGCAACTTCAGAGACAATAATAACAGCTCCCCTGGAAACCCTGGGCCAGCGCCAGACTGCCAAGCTGCACCTGAGACCCAAGAACTTCAGGAGCCGGGTCCCCAGGACCATGGCAAGGGATTCCTCATGTTGCAGCCTCTGTTCATCTCACCTGGCCTCCTCAGTGACCCTCCCTGTGTTCTCTCCCAGGTTGTCCATCGGGAACCTTCAAGGCCAGCCAGGGGGATGAGGCCTGTGCCCACTGTCCCATCAACAGCCGCACCACCTCTGAGGGCGCCACCAACTGTGTATGCCGCAATGGCTACTACAGGGCTGACCTGGACCCCTTAGACATGCCTTGCACAAGTACGTTCTCCCCCACCCCAGTCCACTCACGGGAAGGCTCAAAGCAAGGGGGATGGCTGAGAGCAGCTGGGTGCATGGCGGAGGAGGGTGTCTAAAGCCATTCCTGGGTCTGCACTACACACTGGCATCCGACTTCTACCCCATTCCACTCAGTCACGAGGAGGATAAAGTCAAGGTCTTGATTCACAGAAGGACAGGAGGAGGCTTGGCAGAAGAGCCAGGTGACACATGCAACAGAGGCTGCGCGGTGCAGAGGCTGCAGCTGCAGCCTCAACCTCAGGTCAAAGGTCAACATACTCTTGGAAAACAGCAATGTTCTATCCCCTATGTCGGTCAGGGGTGACATTCACAGAGCTGACCCCAGGGGCTTAGACCACACAAACCTATTCTGTCGTGTGAAAGATGAATTCATGATGGCCTCTCAGGCATCTGGCTTTCCCCTTATGGTCACTTCTTCTAGCACAGCTACTGAAATTCCAGCCATCTCTCTCTGTCTCTCTCTGTCTCTCTCTCTGTCTCTCTCTCTGTCTCTCTCTCTGTCAGTCTGTCTCTCTGTCTCTCTCTGTCTCTCTCTCTGTCTCTCTCTGTCTCTCTCTCTGTCAGTCTGTCTCTCTGTCTCTCTCTGTGTCAGTCTGTCTCTCTGTCTCTCTCTCTCTCACACACACACACATACAGAGAGAGCAGCAGCAGCAACAGAAGGGAGAAAAAGACTTGACGTAGCCATCTATCTCCATTTTAAGACACAGCTCTAGGGAGATGGGGTGATGGCTCAGTGGGTAAGGGCCCTTTGCTCTGCAAGCATGAGGACCTGAGTTCAAATCCCTTACAACCATATAAAAGGCCAGGCACTTAGGAAGTGGGAAATCTCTGATCCCAGTACAATAGTGAGTTTCCAATTCAGTGAGAGACCCTGCCTCGAAGCAAGGCAGAGAATGATCCAGGATGCTATTTGATACCCTTGCTTCAAACCCCACATGGTCATACACACATCCATGTACTCACATGCAGGCAACACACCCACCATAGTAACATGTATGCACACATACACACATACTTACATGCCTGCACACATACATACACGCATATACATCCATACACTCATGAACATGCATACATAAACACGCATAAAATACACTACTCAGAAACTTCTGTTCTTGATCAGTGGCTTGATCAATCACAAAGGCTGGGAAGTGTAATCTTTCTGATACACAGATTACCTCCCTCAGTGAAACTGGGTTCTGCTGTACAGGGAAAGGGCCAGCATGATGGTTCCATGAGTGAAGGGCTTAGCCTGAAAGCCTGGTGACCTGAATTCAATCGGCAGAACCCACATAAAGGTGGAAAGAGAGAAGCAGCCCCACGCTGTTGGCCTTTCCTCACTGGAGCACATGCACAACACACAGGAAGGAAGGAAAGATGGAAGGAGAGACGATAGTATGTAGGTGTTACCCCAAACATGAAAACACCATCCCCAGGAACAAATACTAACGAGGCTGGAGAGGGAAGCAGGTATTGATTCTCAGCAGGATGACATGTTCTAGAAGCTTCTTTGGGTAAATGGAGAGATTTGTAGGAAGCCCTTTTAGGGGGCCGGGGCTGGGGGAGGCAGTGGGCCTGGAGTGGGGAAGTACCAACAGCCTCCACTGACCCTCTTGTTCCCTCCGTAGCTATTCCATCTGCGCCCCAGGCCGTGATCTCCAGCGTCAATGAGACGTCCCTCATGCTGGAGTGGACCCCACCCCGAGACTCGGGGGGCCGCGAGGATCTGGTCTACAACATCATCTGCAAGAGCTGCGGCTCAGGCCGGGGTGCCTGCACCCGCTGTGGGGACAATGTGCAGTATGCACCCCGCCAGCTGGGACTCACCGAGCCACGCATCTACATCAGTGACCTGCTGGCGCACACGCAGTACACCTTCGAGATCCAGGCTGTGAATGGTGTCACTGACCAGAGCCCCTTCTCACCCCAGTTCGCCTCTGTGAACATCACCACCAACCAAGCAGGTGAGCCCCGAAGGTACAGGGGAAGGGACTGTCACTCCACACTGCATCGTGCCCTGCTGGTCCCAGGAGATAACTGAGGCCGTCTCTCTTTCAAGACTGTTTATGCGCTAAGATGGTCGTGTCTATCCATCATCTTAGCACTGAGGAAGCTGGAGCAGGAGGATCTTAAATTTCAGGCCAGCTTAGGCTGCATAGCAATATCCTTTCTCCAAAAATCAACAGTTAGGGCTAGGGTGTAGTTCAGTACTAGAGCACTTGGCTAACAGATATAGGACTTAGATTTGATTCCTGACACTTAAAAATAAAAAGGTTTTGCCTGTGCTCCAGCACTCCCAAGGGGACAAAGTGACCCCTGCCCTGGGATTTATAATAGTGGCTGCCTCTTAAGGTGCACACGTCACAAGACCTGGCATGTAGTGGCTTAAGGAAGAAGAGTTGAGCCATGCAGATCCTGGGTGTCTGGTCCACGGGACTTGTGACCCAGTGTCTCCCAACTGCCCAACCTGAGTCAGGAAGAAGAGAGGAGCCCCAGGGCATGGTGCTACTTGAGTGGGAGTGGCTGGGCTTGGTTGGGTGGCCTCCTGGGTCCACTGAATATGAGATGTCATCTCTGCAGCCTCGGGGCAAAGGGCAGTGGCAGACCTGAGGGACTTCCAGCAGTGTCCACTGATGCTTCCTAGGACACTTAGTCCCGTCCAGCCTGACCCCAGCACAAGTTTGATCCTAGGTGCGACTCTCCAGAACTCCTCTTTGTCAGTACTCTTTGTGGTTTTATGATACGCTTCCATGGTCCACCATGCGTCCCTTCAGGTAGAAGGGTGCCAAGCAACAGTCTTAGCAACAGCCCCTGATCCCTTCAGGAACACCCTACACTGTGGACTCCGTGGAACAACCAAGGTGATTATGGTACCATGGAGTAGACAGTGTGTGTCCCTGGTGTATTATGGTACCGTGGAGTAGACAGTGTGTGTCCCTGGTGTATTATGGTACCGTGGAGTAGACAGTGTGTGTCCCTGGTGTATTATGGTACCGTGGAGTAGACGGTGTGTGTCCCTGGTGTATTATGGTACCGTGGAGTAGACGGTGTGTGTCCCTGGTGTATTATGGTACCGTGGAGTAGACGGTGTGTGTCCCTGGTGTATTCACTCAGCACCTTTTGCCAAATAACAAGCTCTTCCATCAACAGAACTACAGCCTACAGAGGAGAAAAAAGTTACTCCTCAGCTTGCCCTTCCTGGGAAATAACACAGAGATCCTGGAGGCAGACATTCAGGGTAGACCAGGAAGACTTCCTGAAGGAGGTAGGCTGTTGCAGCCATAGTTTGCAGAACTAAGAGAACACTGGACAGTGATGGAGGGGACCTCAAGGGAGAAAGGGGACCCACTGCATCCCTAGGCACCGTGATGAGAGTTGGAGAGGTCAGGTCTAAGGGACTCTGGTGCTAGAGTGTGACTGTGGGTCTGTGTTCTGTGTCAGAACATGTGGCCCTACCGTTCCATGTATTTTGATAACTATGGTTTTAGGATATCTGCCTGGTGCCCTGTAGCTTATCTGCATGTGCATTCGTGAGCATGTGTGTGTTTAGCCCTGGGGATTGGAAAGGGCCTATATTTGATCATAAATGTGGCTCTGCTGTCTGTTTTTGTGTCTGAGAAGGAGTATGGCTTCTTACAGAACCTCAGAAGCTACAGTTGTTGGCCAAGATACCCAACAACAGCCCATGGGGCTAAGTGGTGAGTCTCTCCATCTTGAGAAAACTCAGCTGGAGCCCAAGCTACAGCAAGGGGAGGGAACAATGTTTTTCACTGGAAGAAGGTAGAAAAGAAGTTTCTAGAGCTTTTCCCGGGCTCTGGGGGCCTCCCCCAGCACCTTCTGGGTACCCAAGGTGGAGGGAGAGCTGTTGCTAAGAGCTTTGGTGCTTAGCTGCAAAGAGTGGTGCCTGGGCTGCTGAGAAGGGTCCGTCCTGTCTCAAACTGGACATGCTCAGAGAAGGGAGTGCAGGGGAGGGCACAGAGGGGAGAGGCTTCTAGAAGGAAAGCTTGGGGAAACCCTCAGGGTTGAAAAACGGAAGGAGGGGCTAGGGAGATGACTCAGGAGGTAAAGTACTGTGTAGGTATAAGGACCCGAGTTGAATCTGCAGAACCTACATAAGAACTAAGTGCAGTGGTCCAAGCTTCTAACCCCAGCGCTGGGGAGGTAGAGGCAGGAGGATCCCCAGAGTTCACTGTACAGCAAGTCCTGACTAGTAAGAGATCTGGGTGGACAGTTCCTGATGAATGACCCACAGTTAACTTCTGGGCTCACACAAAGGCACACATAAACAGAAGGAGGACATGGCTTTCCATCCTAGCATTGATATTTGCTTGCTTATGTCCTAGTGTAATGGTCAGCTATTACTGCAGTAGTGCTGTGTAACAAAAACACAAAAGCTCAGTAGACTAGAGGAACATTTGTGTCCTCCCTCACTGTAGGACCCTGTGAGTCACTGGCTCCCCTTGGGGTCTGCTGTGCTGAGCAGGCATCATCCATAGTGTAGGCTCTCTCTCCAGTCTCTTCTGTGACTCAGCAACATCCCCAGGCTCATTCCTCTCCAGGTGAAGGGTGGGTGTGTAGCAGGAGCCACACTGTATCCCTCAGCAGTCACAGCAAGTCCACAGCCAAGGCCAGAATTGAGGGGGTGGGAGGTGTGTTCCGCCTGCAGAGAGTGGGCCATGCTGTTCTTGGGCAGAGAACCAGAGCCTGAGCCTTCTGTCACACCCACGAAGTCACTTCCTCACTTGGGTCTCAGTTTCCCCCACCGAACTGTGCACTGCCAGTACCAGACAGGAGATTTTCAGAACTCAGGCTTCTGGTCTGCATCCAGGCCTCCTGAGGCAGAGCCTAGGAGTGGCGTCTGATGTTTATCAAGGGACTTGAGTCTTTCTTACTCTCAGATCTGAGAAACTTGAGTCCAACTGAGCCCAGGTCCCTGGGCTTTACTCCTTTTCCCACGTCTTCTCCCACTTCTGTCCGTTCCAAGCCCTCTGAAAAGCCCTCATCTCAGGCCAGCCAGAAGCTGGGCAGCCACATTGAGCCTTCCCGCATTACCAGTGAGTAGGCTGAGGCCCAGAGGCTGGGAGACGATCTTATCACTAAAGCGGCTCAGCTCTTGATTTGAACCTGGGTCCAGTGGACTCTGAGTCCAGCCTAGAACAAACGGTTCTGCCTGTAAGGACTTCCGCTGTGGGTACAAGGTAGAACATAGATACAGAGCCCGTGTCACAGCTTCCTGGGATGAGACCCGGGAGTGCCCCCCAGTGCAGACCACTGCCTTCTCAGGTGAGAGGCTTCCTGCATTAAATAAGCATTCGAGCTGGGCTCTGCAGGCTGGAGAGATGGGATGGGTAGAGAGGAAGGTGTCCCTAGGGAGAGAAGTGCAGGAGGTAGTGGACAGAGGGTCCCCTGTTCCTCCTGCCACAGGGCCTTTGCACGTGTGACTCCGGCCTGCCTTCAGACCTGAGCTCATCACACTGACGGTCTTGACTCAGGCATCTCGTCCCAGCCCAGCGTCGGGGTTTCGCATTCCTGAGGCTAAGATTTAGTTTTATGTCTCTGGTCATTATGCATCTGTCTGTCTGCCCCACCATTACCGCCCACGTGCAGCTGTCTGCTTTTCCTCACATAGACTGTTCCAGCACCCAGAAGGGGATACCCCACAGGGAACAGTTCAGAAGCATTCAGCTGATTCGGGGAAGTGTGCAAGGGGATGGAAGGGGGAGTTGTGCAAGGGGTTGGGGGGGTTGTGCAAGGGAAAGGGCAACATGAAGAGATGGGTTGGGGGCGCCTGGCGATACTAGAGACTGCAGAGAAACAAGGCAGGGACCTCAGGTCCAGACCAGTGCATTCAGTGGTGGGTTTTGGACAGACCCTAAAATTCAGTTTATAAATATCTAGCTCACTGCCTTAAAAGGAAAAAGCCTTTCGTTTGGGCAAGCACTGGGCTGTGCTCACAGTCCCCTGGCACTCACCGGGGCCAGAGCTGTCTTCTGACTTCATAAAGCCATCACGTGCCTCCACCCACACTCTGCCTCTGTGGAGTGCCTTCTGCCCAGTCACAAGTGGCACTCAGGGACTGAGAAGAGGGAGGCTAGACTGGGCTTCCAGGGCTTGTGCTAGAAAAAATGCCAAGTCACATGCCCAGGCCCACCATCTAGTAATGAAAAACCCAGGTCTGGGCCCAGCTGTCGAAGCCCTTGGCCTCTGTCACACAGCCATCCTGCCCCTTCACACAAGAACAACAAGGGCAATGAGACCACAGGACGAGGCAGACAACTTTTTGAGGAGGTGACGTTTATGTGGGCATCCAAATGAGAAGCAAGACAGCTGGGTAGCCGTGGAGGTGGAGGGAGAAACATCTCAGTCACAAGGGCTAGCCAATAAGTTCATGTCTGCTCGCTTTTCCCCGTGGGCCTCCTTCCTTGCTAAGGTGAGGGATTCAGCTACTGTCCCCAGTGCCATCAGGCTGCATGGCACAGGCAGGTAAAACCCAGAGGTCCCCTGCATCAACACGAAGCCCATTACACTTGTTCAGTGCACGTGGGTGCTTGGCCAGACCCTCATCCATGGGTCTCACAGAGCTGAAAGGTCCTCTGGTAGTTTGATGGGTGAGAGCCGTGCCCACAGCCTGGCACAGAGGCACAGCCTGGCACAGCTGGCAGGAGGCAGCAGGATCTGAACAATATCGTCAGGGCCAGGGCTGGCGGGACAATCCTGAGGCGGGTCAATCCGTTGGCTGTCCTCCTGCGTCCAGGTAGGTGACTGCAACTTTCAAGGCCAGAAGCGCTGAACAACTGATCCATCCTGGGCATGCTGGTCACATGGGAGAAAGGACAGCAATCTTTGTGTTTTCTAAGCTGAGGTCTCAGCTGGAAGGAAGACCTCACTTCCCTGGCCTCAGTTCCCCTGCCTGCAGAATGGGCTTTTGCTGAGGGCTAGAAGGATAAGCAGTCGGGTGCTAGCG